ACAGAAGCATTGTGTCCAGATCACGGGAGGTGGTAGTTCCGCTCTATTCTGGTATGGTCAGGCCTCACCTGGAGTACTGTGTCCAGTTTTGGGCACCACATTTTAGGAAAGATGTTGACAAGCTCGAACATGTCCAGAAGAGGGCAACCAGGATGGTGAGAGGGTTGGAATCCAAGTCTTATGAGGAAAAGCTGAAAGAGTTGGGTATGTTTAGCCTGGGAAAGAGAAGGCTTAGAGAGGACATGATTGCAGTCTTCAAGTATTTGAAGGGCTGTCATGTAGAAGATGGAGCAGATCTATTCTCTCTTGCTCCGGATTGCAAGACTAGATCTAATGGGTGCAAATTACAAGGGAGTCGTTACCGGCTAAATATCAGGAGAAACTTCCTAACTGTAAGAGTGGTTGAGCAGTGGAACAGACTGCCTTGGGAGCTGGTGGGTGCTCCTTTGCTGGACGTTTTGAAGCAGAGGCTGGATGACCATCTTTTGGGTATGTTGTAGGGCTATCTTACAGCTATGCTCCTACAGAGTGCAGGCGGTTGGACTAGATGACCTGCAAGGTCCCTTCCAACTCTAACATATATGATTCTATATATCAAGCTATATATCAAGCCATATATTATTACACATTGCAAAGTATATCAGAAAATAAAAATTATTTCTCCCCAATATACCCTTCATCACAGATTTTGGAACATTTTCTATAAAGTACAATGATCCTTACTTCAGACATTTTAAATTTCATATTTTATAATTGATCGATTGTACAACTATGTTGCTGATTTAATCATTACTGCATATCATATATTGCATATTTCATCATTTCTGCTTACTCTCCATAACTTTTAATATAGCAAAATTTAGGGGGAAATCCATTATATATCTAAAAATATATTTTGTTTCCTTGTACATTTATAATCAGAACTTGTTCTCATTCAGCTTCATTTTATAATACCTTCATATGCTTTGTAGTACACTTACCGTATATACAATCTTTAAATTGTTCCTCATTCTAATTTTTGAACTGTTTCTCATTTTAATTTGTCTCCTGCTTGCATAATATGCATAATAAACACTCCATCTCTTCTCAAATTTTGAAATTGATCTGTTTCTCAAATAAGTTGTTAATTTTGCCATTACTGCATAATCAGTGAGTTTATCTTCCCGTTCTTCTAAGCTTGGACAAACGTCTGCCAAATGCTCCTTTTTTCAGGGGCCGGTAACCTTTGAGGAGGTGGCCGTGTGTTTCTCCGAGGAGGAGTGGGCTCTGCTGCATCCAGCCCAAAGGACCCTGCACAAGGAAGTCATGGAGGAGAATTATGGGCTGGTGGCCTGTCTGGGTAAGACTAACACAGTGATTCATCTTGATCTACTTCTGACATGAGTTCTTAGCATGTTGCTCAATTATTTCTCTTATTTATTTATTATTTTATTTACTTAGAGTATTAAGAACATAAGAACATAAGAGATGCCAATGTTGGATCAGGCCAAAGGCCCATCCAGTCCAACACTCGGTATCACACAGTGGCCAGAAATACCAGTGCCATCAGGAGGTCCACCAGTGGGGCCAGGACATTAGAAGCCCTCCCACCGTTGACCACCCCAAGCACCAAGATGACAGAGCATCACCTGCCCCAGAGTCCCTATCTATACCTTGTGGCTAATAGCCACTGATGGACCTCTGCTCCATATGCTTATCTAATTCCCTTTTGAAGCCATCCATGCTTGTAGCTGCCACCACTTCCTGTGGCAGTGAGTTCCAAGTGTTAATCACTCTTTCGGTGAAGAAGTACTTCCTTTTATCCGTTCTAACCCGACCGCTCAGCAATTTCATGGATTGCCTGCCCACGAGTTCTTGTATTGTGAGAAAGGGAGAAAAGTACCTCTTTCTCTACCTGCTCTTTCCCATGCATAATCTTATAAACCTCAATCATGTCACCCCTCAGTCGTCGTTTCTCCAAGCTAAAGAGCCCTAAGCGCCTTAACCTTTCCTCATAGGGAAAGTGTTCCAACCCTTTTATCATTCGAGTTGCCCTTTTCTGCACTTTTTCCAAAGCTATAATATCCTTTTTAAGGTGTGGTGACCAGAATTGCACACAGTATTCCAAATGAGGTCGCACCATTGATTTATATAGCGGCATTATGATATTGGCTGATCTGTTTACAATACCCTTCCTAATAATCCCCAGCATAGCATTGGCCTTCTTTATTGCAGTCACACACTGTCTCGACATCTTCAGTGAGTTATCTACTACAACTCCAAGATCTCTCTCTTGATCAGTCTCTGCCAGTTCAGACCCCATCAACGTGTATTTATATTTAGGATTTTTGGCTCCAATGTGCATCACCTTGCACTTGGCCACATTGAACCCCATTTGCCATGTTGACGCCCACTCGCCCAACTTTGACAGATCCCTTTGGAGTGCCTCACAATCCTCACTGGTTTTCACCACCCTGAACAACTTCGTATCATCCGCAAATTTAGCCACTTCACTGCTTACTCCCAACTCCAAATCATTAATGAACAAGTTAAAAAGCAGTGGACCAAGTACTGATCCCTGCGGTACCCCACTGCTTACCACCCTCCACTGAGAAAATTGCCCACCTACACTCACTCTCTGTTTTCTATGAACTAGCCAGTTTTTGATCCATAAAAGGACTTGTCCTTCTATCCCATGATTTTTGAGCTTACTTAGGAGCCTTTGATGAGGAACTTTATCAAAAGCTTTCTGGAAGTCAAGGTAAATAATATCTATTGGATCCCCCTTGTCCACATGTTTGTTCACCCCCTCAAAGAACATTAACAGGTTAGTGAGACAAGATCTTCCCTTACAGAACCCATGTTGAGTCTGCCTCAATAGGTTTTGTTCATCTATGTGCCTACTAATTCTTTCCTTAATAATGGTTTCCACCAATTTACCCGGTATCGACGTCAGACTGACTGGCCTGTAATTTCCCGGATCTCCTCTGGAACCCTTTTTAAAGATGGGAGTGACATTAGCTACCTTCCAATCCTCAGGAATGGAGGCAGATTTTAAGGAAAGATTACATATCTTTGTCAGGAGATCTACAAGTTCACATTTGAGTTCTTTCAGAACTCTCGGATGTATGCCATCTGGGCCTGGTGATTTTTCAGTTTTTAAGTTGTCTATCAGTTTTAGGACCTCCTCTCTCATCACCTCAATCTGACTCAGGTCTTCCAACACCCCTCCTGAAATCAGTGGTTCTGGAGTGGGCAAGCACTTCTCATCTTCCACAGTGAAGACGGAGGCAAAAAATGCATTTAGCTTCTCAGCCATTTCCCTATCATCCTTCAATACTCCTTTTACCCCTTGGTCGTCCAAGGGCCCCACTGCCTCCCTGGCTGGTTTCCTGTTTCTAATGTATTTGAAGAAAGTTTTATTGTTGGTTTTTACGTTTTTTGCTATATGCTCCTCATATTCCCTTTTTGCCTGCCTGACCTCAGACTTGCATTTTATTTGCCATAGCCTGTGTTCCGTTTTATCAGCCTCACTGTGACTAGCTTTCCACTGCTTAAAGGAATTCTTTTTACTTTTTACAGCCTCCATTACTCTGTTTGTTAACCATGCAGGCTTTTTCCTATACCTGTTTGTGCCTTTCCTAACCTGCGGAATATATATTTTTTGAGCTTCTAGGATCGTAGTTTTAAATAGATCCCAAGCTTCCCCAATTGTTTTGACCCTTTCTACTTTTCCTTTCAGTTTCCTCCCCACGTGTCCCCTCATATCAGCTAAATTTCTCCTCCAGGACCTCACGACTGCATTTCCCCACATTGTTGGTGCCGACATGCACCACGACCACTGGCTCCTCCCCAGCACTATCTACCAGCCTATCTAAAACACGCGTAATGTCTGCTACCTTCGCACCAGGCAGGCAAGTCACCATACGATCAGTACGCGGGTTCGCCACCCAGCTGTCTACCTGTCTAAGGATCGAATCATTAACTACCAAGAGCCCCCCCCCACCCTGCCCAGGGATGGTTCCTTGGTGCAAAAGGATACCCGCTCACCAGCTGGGGAAGAGGTCCCTTCTGAGGGCACATTCCCCTTATCCTCAGCACGTTGCCCTGTTTCCCCTAGACCCTCATGCTCCCTGACAGCAGCGGGGCTGCCAGATCCAGAGTGGGACGTATCTAACAAGTCCCTGAGAGTCTTTTCAGTGCGCCTAACTGACTGTCTCTGCTTCTCCAGGTCAGCCACCTTGGCCTCAAGGGAGCACACACGTTCCCTGAGAACCAGGAGCTCCTTGCACCGAGCACACACTCAAGACTTCTGTCCAGTGGGCAGATAGTCATACATGTGACACTCCGTGCAAAACACTGGATAGCCCCCAACCCCCTGCTGGCATTCTGGCTTCATAATTCTTTTAAAATAAGTAAATATAATCCCCCTTTTAAAACCCTTTCTGAGTCCGCGCACTTTAACCACTACACCAAACTGGCTCTCTCACCAAGCTTTGACTCACAAAAGCTTATACTCTGAAAGGTCTTGTTGGTCTTTAAGGGGCTACTGAACTCAAATTTTATTCTGCTCTTCACCAAGGAAGTCCTGGGTTGCCTCTCAGAGGCAGGCAATGGCATACCATCTCTGTTCCTCTCATGCCTTGAAAACCTTACAGGGTTGCCACAAGTCAACTGCAACTCAATAGCATTTTCCACCACCGCAGACTAACGCGGTTATTCGCCTGAAATCAAGTAATAGCTAATGAGGTCTGCCTCTTCGCCAAGTCCCTTGGGTGGGGTTTGTTTCCTGTTGCGATTCTACATATCTGCCTCAAGACTTTACCTTTTTTCCTTTGTTTATTCTAGCAGGCCATGAAAGGGAGAATGAAAAGGAGACTGACCCGGAAGGGCTGCCCAGGGGAAAAGACAAAGAAGCGGACCAGCAGAAAAGAAAAACTGAAGCCCGAGGGTTGAAGAGGAGGAATAAACCTGTAGCCTCTCAGGGTGTCACTGTCTATAAAATCCTAATTGAAGAAAAGATGGAGAAAGGAAAGAGGAAGAGGAAATGCCTTGTGTGTGGGAAAATTTTGAGCTGGAAGTCTAGCCTCAAGGATCATTGGAAAATTCACACTGGGGAGAAACCATTTAAGTGCCCGGAGTGTGGGAAGAGCTTCCGACAGAAGGCGAAACTAATTACCCATCAAAGAGTCCACACGGGAGAGAAGCCCTTCAAATGCTTGCAGTGTGGAAAGAGCTTCATTCAGAATGAATGCCTGAATTCCCATTTAAAAACACACTCAGGGGAGAAGCCGTTTAAATGCTTACAATGTGGGAAAAGCTTCAGCTGGAGTCATAACCTGACATCTCATCAAAGAATCCACACAGGGGAAAAACCATATCATTGCTCTAAGTGTGGAAAGAACTTCACACAGAGAAAAGACCTTACTTCCCATGAAAGAATCCACACAGGGGAGAAGCCCTACACCTGTTCTGAATGCGGAAAGAGCTTCCACCAGAATGCACACCTGACTTCCCACCAAAGGATCCACACCGGGGAGAAGCCATATGAATGCCTGGAGTGTGGGAAGAGCTTCAGCCGGAGTTCGAGCCTCGTTTTGCACCAAAGGACGCACACGGAGGAGAAACCGTTCAAATGCTTGCAGTGTGGGAAAAACTTCAGTTGGAGCCATAACCTGATATCCCATCAAAGAATCCACACAGAGGAGAAGTCGTTCCAGTGCTTGGAGTGTGGGAGGAACTTTAATAAGAAAACAAGTCTCATTTCACATCAAAGGGTACACTCAAAACGTTTGGGAAAAGGATCCTGTGAATAACCACTTGGTCTTGCCTGCTCTAGGTTCACAAATTGTCCCTGTTTCCCGAAATGCCACCTGTTCCCAGAATCCCATGAATTACAAACCAATCCAAAAGGAATATTTCCAGTACTTTTATATCTAAATGAACAAATTATAATCGTTCAAATATGAAAATAATGCTTGGCAGTAGAAATTGAGATGTCTAAAAATGGCACAATGACCTTATGAATATATTGGACCTTAACATAGTAGTAACAAATAAAATATGAATAAATTAAAATGCCCGTTAAAATGAGAGACGAATTAAATCTGATTAGACTAACCAAGTTTCTAGCTTTTAGAAATCAATATGAAATTCTGACTGTCCTGTGAATTCTGCCAAATGTCCAGTGTTCTTTATAACTAGTATTCCTGATATCACAAACCTGTTAGCATGTTTGTTGGTTCGAAGTGACTACTTGACTGCTCCTTTCTTTTCAGAAATCAAACCTCGCATTAAGGATTTCATGCTGAGATAAGAGTGGCTGTATTTTGAAGGTGGGGTCCTTCTAATTCTAGTAAAACAGTCTTGCGGGTCTGATATACGCTGGGACCTGCATCTGATACGGTTGACAGTGTTTGCCCACAAACCAAGGTTTGCGTCTCATTTATTTCCCCCCTCCCCAGTCTTGTGGATTACAGCTGAACACTGAGAAGACAAAAGTAATGACTGCTGGGGAACTATACAATGAAGAAATTGAAGTTGTTTGAGATTTTCTATTCCTCGGCTCTGTCCTCAACCAAAAGGGAGACTGCAGCCAAGAAACCAGAAGAAGATTGAGCCTGGGAAGAGCAGCCATGAAGGAGCTACAGAAGATGCTTAAGTGTGAGGATGTGTTCTCCCTAGAAGCGAAAAATGATCAAACTGAGGCTATTGTACTCTGGTCACATTATGAGAAGACAAGAGTGGCTGGAAAAGACAATAACACTAGGAAAAGCTGAAGGCAGCAGGAAAAGAGATGGATTGACTCAGTCAAGGGAGCCACAGTCCTCAGTTTGCAAGACCTATTATGTTTTATAGGTCATTAATTGATGGGTGTGCTATAAGCAGGAGTCATTTTGTAGAAAAAGAGGTGCAGGATCTCATTAGCATAACTCATTAGCATAACTTATTTGCATATGCCACACCCCCGACGTCACCGGAAGTGTGTCAGAAGGCAACACCCCCGCTCAGGCTCCACTGGACTGTTTTGGATTGCTAGCCATTGGGGGGGGGGGACGCGCAGATCTGTCCTCACAGAGGAGGGAGAGCTTGTACCTGGATAAAACTTGGTCTTAAAGGTGCCACTGGACTGTTTTGGACCGGGGGGG